AAAAAAGTGACGATCAAATGTTGTCGGTTATACGTCGAACATTTTATGTCGTCGAAATATCAGTCTATTTGAAAATTACTGACAAGCGCTTTAGCTACGCTCGTAATCGATCGTCGGAAATATAATAATCAACTGTATTTCTCTAGATAATCTATTTAATGTGGCAGTCAAAAATGAATATTAATCCTGCAGTGTATTTAAGGGGCGTATGTATCATCTATCAATTAGTGGGAACTGAAATCAACTTCCTTCTATCTTTCTACCTCAGTGACACATGAATTTTTACTTTGGCTCCAAGATAAATTAACTTTCGTTACTCCATTGATGGTTTTTGGTGCTTCGAAATTACCCGCTTCAAGAATATTTTAATGGACTTGATCAGTTTCCATCCATTTGATTACCTTGGATGGTGCGTGCTCCTGTGCTACTGAGGAGGACGACTGAGCTTCTTTTCCTTTTCCTTTTTTTTGTCTAAATTTTACTATTTTTCTTTTTTTTTTCTTGGTTGTCTTAAAATTGATGTATCTTTTTGTCTAAATTTTACTATTTTTCTTTTTTTTTTTTTCTTGGTTGTCTTAAAATTGATGTATTCGGCCTTCTCTTATGTGATGTCTTGTTTTTGATCTCATATTATTCTAAATCTAAGGCTTCGTTTGGGGCAGCTTATTTGGTGCGGTAGCGTTTTGAAAACGCACTTTGACTGTTTGGGTAAACTGCGTTTTGACAACTTATGTGTTTTCAAAACGCAAAAAACAGTGTTTTCACACTGCACTTATCTAGGTGCGGTAGCAGCTTATTGACAACAGTCCGACTTTTTCAAAAAAATAAAAATTTGTAATAGCTGCCGCACCTAACTTATAAGTTGATTATTTTTAATCAACTTATTAGCAGATTATTCAATAGGTTGTAATTGTCCCAAATAGACCCCTAGGCGGCAAAAGCGTTGGTTGCTCACCAACCAAACTTTCTACATAGATTTATAAACTTAAATATTTTTAAAATACTGACCGAAAATGTTCAGAATTCTTTCCTCAGGCTTAAGGAATAGTAGGTTCAATTATTACGAAGCTTCTCTTCAATAATTACTTCACTAATTGCTAGTATTAAAAAACTAAAGACCTCTTGGGAACAATAATTGGACTATGATTTAACGGCTAAAGTAACGATGTGCTGATGTGATGGATGACTTGAGACAATTTGGACAGCAGAGAAAGAGGCAGTGGCGAGCGGAAATTTTTATTGATTGGCACAGTATGAATCTATTTATTGTATATAAAAATATATTAAAATTTTTGGAAGATTTACATAAATCACTCAATTCCTATATAAGGGTCTAAATGAGCCGAGCACGGGCGAGCTCAGGCTCAACTTATGTTCGGCCTGTTTATATTTTGAACTCTAAAAAGTGTGCTCATGTGCGGCTCGTTTGCTTAATGAGCTGAACACGAGTCGTTCACAAACAAAGAGTCACTTTGATAACTCCAATAGTGTAGGCAAAAAATATTAAAGATTGGGGCAATATTTAAAATTTTTTGTTTATATTAAAATATCATTTAAATTTAATTTAATAATTTTTATACTATTTTCCTAATTAATACTTTTAATTGATTATAAATCTTTGTAGCCTTGTTGTCAATTAAATTTTTTTAAAATACTACTCATCAAATATATATATATATATATAGCAGTATTTCAAGGCAAAACTAGCCGAACACGAATGAACAAATATTTATTCGTGTTGTTCGTGTTCGACTGGTTAACTTAGCCAACGAGCCAAACACGAGTTGTTCGCGAACAATGAACCGTTTTGACAGCCCTAGCCCTAGCCCCGAGATAGCTAGCCAGAACTCTTTGTCCAATCTGCACAGGAGTGAATTCTTAACAAATAATCAAACCGGCAGTTTACAATATGACCCCAACAAATGACCACCAAACCATAAAACAAGTCGGGCAAGAGGCCGACATAGGCACCCGACTTTGTTCGATTAGGAACCTACCCGGACCCATCCAAACGGGGACCTACCCCGACCTGCCCAACGGGAACCTACTCCGTAGTTTCTGGCCGGGAATTTCCAAGGCCCCCACCTCATCCGACAAGGTTCCCAGCCTAATATTTATGTACTCACTAAACTAAAATGCCCTCATCATATTTATGTCGTATCTACGTATACTATGAGTACAATATGTAATTTTACATTCTCCCACCCCTATTAATAGAAGTCTAGCTGATGAATAAAAGTTACGTGATTTTACTAATCTATAGTGTGCTTTTGCTTTTTTTGCTCTCTATCTCTCTCTCCCTCCCTCCTTGGCACACTATTCCTTGGGCATGTCTTTGAGATAATTTTGGATTCAACTTTATTAATAAATAAAGATAGTTTTAATTAATACAATCAAAATTAAGATTATGAAAAATTGGTGAAGTATTGAACATGTTAAAATTAATCGGTGGTGTATTCGACAACACAATATATATCGATGTTGTGTATAAGTTATCATAAGTTATGCATGAGTTATGAGTTAAAATAATTAATAACTTAAGTTATCATGAGTTACAAAAATAAATATCATAAGTTATGACATAAGTCATGAGTTAAGAAAATAAACAACTTAAGTTATCAAAATAAATCTCATAAGTTATTAAAAATAAATGTGAGTCATAAATTAAAATTTAATAAATCTCATAAGTTATTAAAAATATATATATATATAGATACCTAACGAAAATCTATATATGATGGATTTCAAAACAACTGGTGTTATTTAAAGATAAGAATAATATTTTCCAAATTATCATTCATCTATTAAAATCACCTTAAAATAAATAAAATAATTTAAAACCATTATAAATTAATTTTAGTCATAATATTCCAAACGAATTTCTCTTTCTAAGAAAATCAAAAGCCATACAGATTCAGATCAATGTCACATGATCTGATAAATAAATCTTTTTTAGAACAAGTTGGGCCAGATCTTATTTTATTCTATAAAGAAATAACCAATCAATAAAAATTTAAATAAGGAATCCTACAAAAAGATAAAGTATAAAGAGGAAAAGATAAATATAAAGACACTTTTCTTCTTTTTATACCTAACTTGGCCACTGAATTGTACGAAATGAACCGAATGGCGACACGAGTATTATCAGAATCTAAACATTATACATTGTTCGATCAATATCTATGATTTCATTCATGCAATTGGTATAAATCACACCAGAAGGAAGCGCTGGTCTTCTCAGTTCTGCTTGGCATCATCTATTCTAAACCACCCAATGGCTACACTATGTAGCAGAACAGCATAAATGGCAGTTACTGTGCTGCCCAGATATGAGAAGTTGAATGACCATTTTATCAAGTGGGTGGATGACGCGTCTCATATTTGTGCTGTTCTTGTTGCTCATAGCTATGAGCTGCCCCTCTTATAATTGAAGGGAAATTATATTAGATTTATTTGAATTTTGGATTTTTTTGAGAAAGTTTGTTGAATATCGGATTATTTCTAATATTAATTGCCTGTATTCATCCCTCAATTGCGCTAGTCATAAGAGACGAC